AAAAAAATACGATAATCTAATTGAAAACTGCAATTAGTATTTATTTCTCTTTGTTTATCTTTTTAAACAAACATGCACTGTACAAAAAAAAAGAAAAGAAAAGAAAAGAAAAGAACGAGAAATCATGAAATTCGGTTATGAATGTTATTGTTTACAATTGCTTGCCGTTGTTCGTGCACTATGCTCTTGAGCTTTAGCACGAAGTGCAGCAATACTTTCACTTCTCATTGCTTCAGTTATATCAATATGTGTCGATCCAGATAATGATCTTGGTGATTTTCTTGAATGTGTACTACTACAATCATCATCATCATCATCATCATCGTCATCATCATTTTCATTTGTACCTTCTCCATCTTCTTCACCATCATCTTTAACCATTTTTTTTAATTGTTCAGCTGCTTCCAAAGATTTTCTATGCATACCAAGAAGCCATGGAGCACATGATGAATCAATACCATCTTTAGCTGATTTAACAATTGTTTCAGGTAATGGAAGTGAATGACGAACCATAGCTCCATACAAACCATATTCAGCCATGACTGTCGCTTTACCCCAAGTTTTTTCTGTTTTACGCCACTAGAAAATAAAATAATAAATTAAAAATACAAATCTTTGGTATTAATCACTCACTTTAGCTCGACGATTTTGAAACCAAACCTAAAACACAAACAATAAATTTAATAAAATAAATGACAACAAAAACAAAAAAAATATTTTAGTCTGCATATAATCATTTCCATTATCACATTGTCAACTATTAAAAAAAAGACCAATATGCGTGTGATAATATTCATTGAAAATAATTTCATACGCGAGAAAAAACTCATCGTTGAGAATGGATAAATTGCTCACACGTTCGGTTTATATATAAAAAAAGAAAAAAAATGACGTAACAAATACAAACTAAATGAGCAATTAGTTGACATGCTGAATCTTTTCTTTCGCATTGACACCCCATTATCCTTCAATAAGAATGGTCAAGGATGACAAAAAGAAGCAAGGATATGATCCAATCGGGCACACGTGCTATTAGAGTTTTTCCACCAATCGATGTGAAAATGCTCATTAGAACATGGCGTTGAGACATCATGCTGAGCGACTATTTATCCTGTCGATGTAGAATAATAAATACAGACCAACGAAGGAGAAGAGAAAGAGAGAGTAACATGTACAAGACTGGTGCGTGTAAGCTTAGAAATAAGAGACATACACGCACGCCGTGCGTTAATGATGATGAGAACCGAGAGAATTAATTAACCCATTCACAATTGACAATACATAAAATTTCTCTCCGCCCACCTCTATCAATTGATCGATTGACAAAACAAAATAAAGTAAAAAAGCCAACAAAAATTTAACTGTTTTTTTTTTCCTGTGATTTCTAATATAAAAGACATGTAACAAACCTGAATTCGATCTTCAGGAAGATCAGTTTTAACTGCAAGTAATTCGCGTGCTGATACATCAGGATAATGAGCATCTTTAAATGCTTTTTCTAATTCTTCTACTTGATGACTAGTAAATATAGTCCTAAATAAAAAGTAAATCAAAAAAAAAAGAAAAAATATCTAATAAAAATTCATTTTATAATTTACCGATGTCTTCGTTTACATTTTTTCTTTTTACCCGTACCATTACTATTACTACTATTTGTACCATTTGTATTTAATTTTTCATTACTACCACAACCATCACTTCCACTTCCAGTAGTACTACCAATAAGAATATCTCGATCTAAACATACAAAAAAAAAAGAAAGATCAGAGACAAGAATGTTTATCTTTAAAGTGTTTTGATAATCATGTTTTGTTGATTGATCGAATAAGAATCTTATCCGTCAAGTGTTGTTTAAATAAGAAGGCAACATTGTACATTAAGCACTGTCGATTTTTTATCATCTTCAAACGATGCTAAAACAAAAATTTTCTTTATCATTTAAAAAAAAATTTTACCTAAATTATCTTGTAATGAATCTAATGTTGTATTTGTATTATGCGAATTTGTTGGAGAAAATTGTTGAAGAAAATTTGTATGTGGATGTGGAACATCTCCATTTATAAATGATCCTGTTGGATGATGTTGAGAATGTGGATGTGAATGATATGGAGATGAAAATAAACTTGATCGAGATAAATAAGCTGTATATGCTTGATGATCAGCATAAGCACGAGCTGCTGCAAGATCTGTTGATGTAAGACCAAGAATTTCTTGAATAGCAAATGCTGTTGTTCGACTTGCTGATGGTATTTGTTGAGGATAATGATGATGATGACGCATTTGTTGTTGTTGATGAGTTAAATTCATGATACGATGTTGAAAAAGAAGTCAATCAACTGATTATTAGGTTGTTAACATACATGAGAAAGAAAAGAGAAAAAAGAGAAAGAAAAAAGAGAGAGAGATAGAGAGAGAAAGAGAAACTAATTTGTTGATAATTGGGCGAACAAGAGAATAGTTCGAATCTGTTTTTTTTTTTTCTTTTTCTTTCTTTTTTCTTTGACTAACAACTAACTAAGCCAATCAGAACATGTCTACAAAACGACCGAAAGAGAGGAGAAGGAATTGGCTCAACAAGCCTGATATTTTCGTCAATGGGCCAATCATAATGCGGATGACAAGAAAGAACAAGAAGAAAAAAGAAAAAGAAAAGAGAATTCTTTTCTTATTCTGTATATACTCGGTTTTATAGTAATTTGCACCCAATTATGTTAGATATTATTCGTTAGTATTCTATACTCCTTTTTTTTCTATAAAGCAAAAAAAAAATACGGGAACAAAAGAGCAAAACTACCCCTTTTTTCTTTTCTATGCTATGGCTTGATCTCATATTTCCAATTTGCAATAGAGTTTGTAAAAAAAAAAGAAAATATTGTATAGAAAAAAGGCAAATCTATAATTGATTGATTGACTTTTGTGAATGCTAGAAACAAAGAAAATAATGTGTGGACACAACAGTGCTATTCTATCATCATTAGATCATATCAGATTTATCTAATGGCATGATCAATAAATTTATTGGATCTTATCATTTTATAATTGTTTTTCTTTTTCTTTTGCTAAATGTTGATAACAAAAAGATATTTAAAGCTGAAAAAAGACATTTTTTTTTGCATCAAGCACAATAATGAACACAAAACAGTTTAATTACGTTTAAAGATGATTGAAACAATTAGTGAAAAGAAATACTCGTTAGTATTACACGTGCTATTTTCAGAAAATTACTATTAGTGATGGAGTAAAAAAAAATTGTAGAAGAAGAAGAAGATTAGCCTTAGTTTGAAGCTGTCAATACAATATATTTTTCCTTTACAATACAGGAACGTTCAGTTTTTGGAGAGGAGAATGGAAATGCTGAACCTCCTTCAATAACCTTCTGACTCAGTGAATAAATATTATATTAAATATTTTTTCGTTGCAATTATTGAAATAAACAAGTTTATTGATATCAAAATTGAAAGAAACTAATACATTTAAAATTGAACATTTTTTGTTTTTTCAAATGACATTTCCTTGACAAACAATTCTGACAAGCAATAACATTTCCACTTCAATAGATTCATATTTTCTATATAATAATCATTTTGACTGCTCACAATTTGAAAATAAGCTTCGATTATCAAACAGCATGTTTTAATTTGTTCTCTCTTCTAAAATCAAGATGGCAGTAAGAATACAAAAAAAGAACTTTTTTTTCTTGAGGAATCTCACACTCATTTTACAGTCATCATCATCATTGTCAAGTAGTTAAATGCGTAAATGACGATGGTGTTATGCCTAGTGTGCTCGCGCCTATCCATCTCAACGACATAATTACATTGACTAGCGCATCATTGTTCACAAGTATTATGCTATTCGTTGTTCTAGTCTTACACCTTAGTATAATTTGCATGAATAATTGATTGTTTTAAAATATCATACAGATAAAATGGGTTACAAAAAACTCTTTTTAACTTAAAAAAAAAACACAAAACCATTCGGAAAAAAATTAACAAAGCCAATTTTGATGTTGTTCAAAAAAAGAAAAAAGATGATCAAATAAAATACCATTTAATGAGAAACAATAGACATTGAAGAAACAGTTGGATGTACATCACTTTTATCTTTGCCGATACAATGTCAGTATTAGAAACTTGTAGTTGTATCCATAATTAAGATGAGAGATAATGATGAACATTTCACTTAATGCTACTCGTGCATGATCAATCAACATAAAAACCATGTATCTTTTTTTGTGAGAATTTTTCAAAAAAAAAAGGAAAAACTAACATAAGTACTATAGAAACATTGTTTTTTTTTTGACTTTTGAAAATATTAATTAAATAAATAATTAGAAATATTAATATTTTTTTTCTTCAAATAACATAATTCGATATATATCATCATGATGTGATCGATATAAGATAATCAATCAATGTTGTTATTTTTTCTTGTTCTAGTATTATGATTAATCTAACTGGATTTCTTTTTTTTTTTCTTCATATTATTTATTTCAATCTTTGAATGTTTAGAAAACATGTATTTCATATGTTAATTGTGTTGAGAAATGAAACCTGATCACCTGAACATTCATACACTTTTTCTTTTTCTATACTCATCATCAACAATTAATTGAGCACATCTTTTTCCTTGTATTTAGACAAGTGTAGGTGGTGCACTATACAATTGATTAATGCTTCAATAGTTCGTTCTTCTTTCCTCGTTTATGCATATGTGTGTATATATTATTGAGCTTGCTCGATTTTCTTTCCCTCTAATTGAATCATCTTTTCTTCCCTCCTATTGCTTATCACAATAGACGCGTAATCGGTCGGGGGTTGCCTTCCCTCCCGTTATAGGCTTCCATCATCTTGTAAACTATCAGGTAGTATTGTTCATGTATGCATAGATTTTTTTTTCCCTCTTGTCTTTATTGCCTCTAGCTTTTCTTGCTATTTGACAGTAGATCAAGTTCCGCCCTCGCATTATTGGGGAAAAAAAGCACTTAGTTCGACCGATTGGTTTTGTGACATATTTGCGTGCAAACCATATTCGACGTTCGATTACGATCAAAAATAATCTCCCACGAGAAACGACAGTCTAATCAGATTTTCTTCTTTTTCTTACTCTTTACATTTCTAAGCGTGTGTGTGTGTGTGTGATAAAATGAGAAACGAATGAACAAGCAATTAATTTACTGGTATGTTGTTAGCACAGTTCTACTATTGTTCCTTATATATTTGGATTGAACAAAAAAAAAAAAAAAAGAAAGAGAAAAAGGTGAAAATAACATGATCGATAGTAAACATGCAATCAGCATCAAAGTTATGAATGATTAAATGATAATTATTATTCATCTTTAATATCACCTAATACAGCTACTGCTTCAATCTCAACTTTTGCATTCTAAACAAAAGTTTAAAAAAAATATATGGATAAGTTGATCGTAGAATTTTTCATTTACTTTTGGAAGACCAGCAACTTGAACTGTTGATCGAGCTGGATGACGATCTGTAAAGACTAAACAAAAAATAAATAGAAAAATTAATTATGTATTTATATGAATAAATTAAGAATTTTTACCTTCAGAATAAACTTGGTTCATTGCAGCAAAATCATTCATATCTTGAAGAAAGACATTTGTTTTCACAACTAATATTAAAGATGAATTCTATTATTTTTATTTTTATTTTTATTTTCTATTAACTAACCATTTTTATAAGTAGCACCTGCTGCTTTAAGAACTTCTCCTAGATTTATTAATGACTATAATAATAATAATAATAATCATAATGAATAGCAATCATCTATTATATATATGATAAATCTACCTGACGAGCTTGTTCTTGTACTGTATCACCAGCAAACTGACCAGTTTTAGGATCAAGTCCAAGAGCTCCACTCATATATAAGGTGTGATCAACTTGAACAGCTTGACTAAAATAGATATTTTTACATAATCTGTTATTACTTTCATCAAGATTTACTTGTTACCTATATGGCCCACTTGTAGGTCCAGCTGCAGCTGTTTTAATAATACGACGGACGATTTGAGACGATGACATTTGATGATACCAAAAAGAAATAAGAGTCTAAAATAAAGCGAAATGGATACAAAACGAAGTAGGGTATTAGTAGAATGAAATAAGAAGAACGAAACATTTTTTGTTTTATTTTGAAATGAAACGATAAGATCGAAAACGAAAAAAGAAAAGAAAAAGAGTAAGGCATTGACATGACTCGGGAAGGTATTTTTTCGAGCATAATCATGACCTTGAACGATTAGCTTTAACTCGTATATAAGAACAAAAAACATCTAGCTAATCCCAATCAATACAACAAATGTTTGCCTAGAATAGGCAATATTTATGAAATGCTTATTGATGTATATTAAATATGATTTCATATTCTTTGTTCATAAAAAAAAAACAATTTCTTTAACATATTTGTTAGAAAAAAATATATATGAAAAAAATAAAACATCATTAATATGCAAAAACGTACTTCTACAGAATATATATCGTCCTTATTCACAGTAATTGAATTACATGGACAATTGTATAGTAAATGTGATGGTATGAAATTCAAAGCATTATATATTCTATAGCAGTACCGAGTAAAGAAATGATTATTATTATTTTTTTTTAAGCAAGTTTGTATAAACCATCTGATTTAAGTAAATTCGTGCCAAGACGATTCACTAATATAATCAAATGATTTCAATCGTTCATTTTCCTCTGGTGTACATGTTGATATTCCAGCAGCTGTCCAATTGTCTTTAGCTTGACCTCCTCTATCTAATGATAAAGTCGCAAGAGCTGAATGAAATGATGTGTCAGATGCAACATGTATATCCTAAATGAAAAATAAGAATATTTTTCTTAGAAAAAATTGTTTCATTTTTCTATGTTTTTTTATTTTACTCTGGAATTTTTATGACAAGATTTGAATACACCTTCATCAATTTCTGACCAATTAATTTGATGACCAACTTTAAAAAATACATGATCACGTATTAAACCATGTGGTGAATTAGGTGAACCTAAACGTTTTTCAGGATCATTTTCAAGTAAACCAATAACACATGAATCAGCTTCCGGGCTTATACAACGAGGTAATTCTAAATATTCTTTGATATCTTTTGGTTCACTTGTTTGTTCATTATCATTTGAAAACATATAAGGATAAAAATCGAGTTGTTCACCACACAACATTTGTACTAACATTATTCCAAGTGCCCAAAAATCAACTGCATAACTATAACCTTCACCGGATGAATCTCTTTCTAAACGTCGAACCTATAAAACATCATTCGATAATTTCTTTTC